GCCCAGCTATCTAGGTACTTAGGTAGCCTAGCAAAAAATTCAAGGTTTCTTCCCCTCAAGCCTATAGATTGGCGGTTGCATGATGATACTACCATGGATCATGTGTGGAAAACAATATATGTATGATGTTCTTGAACACTTTCAGCTTTAATATGTATTGAAACATATATTATAACACTTGTAAATGGTATAACACTTGTATGAGTGCAGGATACCATAGATTGGCGGCCTGAAGATGTTCCCAATATTCCTAAAATCCGACTTGTAATGTTGCAAAGATTGTCTGATAGGTGCAGAAACTATAAGGCAAGTTTAAAAGCTAAGTATTACACTCCCTATGTTGGTTTGCCAGAACGATTCTTGTGTGGAGATGATCGTGTAGATCGCGATCAATGGCGGGCAATGGTTAACTATTGGGACACTGATCCAAAAAATAAAGTAAGTACTACATCCATAATATAAACTTATGATTTCAAATTAGGCATAATTTCTTCAGAATTTGTCAAAATTTTAACTGGTTTGAATTCTAAATCGGGTCACTGGAGTTAGTCAATTTGGTCTTGTTCCACCGTGAATCTGGGACAATGGAACCTGAGTCGTGGTTCGCTATAGCTTCTCATAAGCCCGACTTCTATGGTACAGATGTACTTCTTTAGTTATGCTTATGCCTGTCGAACTCATTTTGATCTTGCCCAATTCAATCCGTCAAAAGGCAGTAAACTCTAATTTCATATGCACACATGATCTTATTTAAACGAATGAAAACATTGATGTGACAGAGTTTTGATGATGTGTCAGAGGGTTAGGCATAATTCATAACTAACCCTATAAACCAAAATTGAACCCAAAATTTCCCCTACCAACCAAGAATCCTAATCCACAAAAAAAGCCGCAATTTTATTCCTGTTTTAGTTTAAATGAATCCCAACTACCTTATACACATCATCTGCACTTCGCTAACTAAACATTCCAATCTGGTAATTTAGCTGAAAACTATTGTATTGAAAGTACAGATGTACTTCTTTAGTTCTACTTATGCCCATCAGATTCACTTTGACATTGTCTTACCCATCGTAATGTGTTTACTTCTTACTTATGTGTCAGTAATGCCGTTTTGTTTTCTTGAAGATATATCACCTTGTCAGGTTTCCTTTTATTCACCTTAGTCATGTGATTTGATACCTAGTTGTTAAATATCTCTTTTACATATGTGGGCTGGTCATTAACTTTGATTGTTTTATGCACTTTATAGTGTTAAGGAACACTGTAAGAAGTAACTCATCGCAAGAATAAAACCTCAAGCACTGCTAGTTCAGAGCAAAAAGAAGAAGGCTCCATCACGATGGACCATAATCTAATAGAACACAATTGCTTGCTTCTGACATTTAATATATAATTTGGTATTCCAACACCATGGACCATAATCTAATAGAACACAATTATATTGGTCCCTACTTCATCCCATCCTACACTGCCATGTACAGAAACTAAGAACAAAAATCTAATACATTGCTACTGGTGTCTAATACATTGATTTCGTACTCCATGAGGTCCATAACAGAGAGGCTTAATGCCGCGAGTGTATTATTGGCTGGCAAGTACTAGCTCGGGTACAACTGTACTGACCCGGATAATTGAAGACACACGCTTGGATTGCTAGCGGTTGAGGGGTGATGAATATTTTGGTTTGATTGCTAAATCAGGACTGTTTATTGAGTACTTTGGTCTCTAAAAATTGAGAGAACCTGCTTCTATTCAAATATCAGAGTTGTGATGTATTAGGATTTTCTCTTAAAGTTACATTAATGCCTATGCTCTCAATCGTCTTAGTTGTCCTGGATTTGTTTGAATTGACCTTTATTCTATGTAGACCATTTGATGTCTATAACATTACATTTACTGTTGAAGTCTGCTTCTTTGAGATGTTGCTTCTTTAATTAAATAAAATTTATGATTGTTTTTCTGCGTTTTACAAATAGGAGAAAAAACATGGTCGCAAACCTGATCCTATTGAGATGTTTTATATAGTGCACAAACGGCGAGATGAAAATAAAAGTTGGATAGATGATGCATCGGAGGAATTGGCGGTGAGTTTGAAATTTAATAATTTGTATTTAGACAAGTAATACATGTAAAAAATTGTTTTACTTCATATTGTGTCCATTTTGGTTGTTGAAGTGAATTCTTTTTTCAGGTTAAGATCTCACGGGAATTAACGAGTTTGGTTGAAACCCATGGCGAGGAAACATCAGAACTAAGGCAACAAGCTTATGTAGCAGCAAGGGGTTTAGAGACTCGTGGTAGAGTTCGTGGTTATGGAAGAGGGGTGACGCCAGACATGATTCCTTGGGTGGCACAAACTCAGCCAACATCTTCATCACTTCGATCACGTACTGGGCGAGCATATGCTAATTTGCAATCTCAATATTCAGAACTTGAGGAAAAGTATGAGCGACAGCAAAAGGAGTTGGATGAGTTGAAACAGATGATCACTTCAGGGAACGCACATCCGCATCAACAATCTTCCTCCCAACAACAGTCTAACTCCCAGCAGGAATTCTTTTTTCAGGTTAAGATCTCACGGGAATTAACGAGTTTGGTTGAAACCCATGGCGAGGAAACATCAGAACTAATGCAACAAGCTTATGTAGCAGCATCGTCGTTCGCGATCTCCTTCCCAACAACACTCACCTTCCCAGCACACTCCGACATCGTACCCATGTCCTCCATATCAGCATCTTCCACCGTATCCGTATACATCATCTTCGCAGTTCTACTACCCCCATCCATACCAGCCACCTTTGTACCACCCAGTGCCACACCCACCTGGAGAGTTTACAGCAATGCTCAATGATTCAGATTTTATGCAACAGATGATGCCACCAAATGATAGGAATGACAGGGATAAAAGTTAGATATTTTTACATTCATGTTGAAGGTCAATTTTGTTGGTTATTTAAGTTATTGTTAAGTACTATTTGTTACACGTTTTTTAAGCAATTTTGGTACATTATTATGTAATCAAATTGGATTGACTTCTTATTAATCAAAATTATTCATGTTTCAATTATTTTATGTTTGTTTTTCAATTTAATTATATGAATTAAAAATTAATTATTTTTTTGGATTTATTAAAAAAATAAAATATTAATATCAAATTTAAGATATTAGAGGCAATTATATTTGTACCTTAAATTAATACATTTATTTTAATTCCAACTATTTGGGGCAGTTACATCTGTCTCTAATAAGTTATTAGAGGCAATTATATTTGTACCTTAAGTAAATACATTTATTATAATTCAAACTATTTGGGGCATTTATATCTGCATCTAATAAGTTATTAGAGGCAATTATATTTGCCTCTAATACTTTTTCAACTAAACCGGCTGACGTGGCGCATTGAGTATTTGGGGCGGAAGTTTGTGCAATATTGCCCCTAATAACTATTAGCAACACCACTTTTAGGTGCGGATACGAGTTTTGCCACTCATGTAATTAGAGGCAGATAATTCCATTTATTTGCCTCTAATTGAATTAAAAGTGACGAAAATAATTGCCCCTAACTCTTCTTTTTTTTGTAGTGGGGGTTCAGGGGTTAGGGTATGTTAAAGACTTGGGAGAGAGAAATTGAACTTTTGAAAGGGTTCTAAGGAAGCGACGAATGCCACAAAATGAAAGTGTAAAAAATTCACAATTTTTTTAGAGGAAGTGACCAAGGAATTAAAAGGTGACCAAGGAATTAAAATAAAACAACTTCAATATTAAACATTACCATGAGGAAATGGAAGGGCTGAGGAATATATAAACCTAAACATCGACTTACGATGTAGGAACTACTTAAAAGTGCTCTGAGGAAGAATGCTACAAATGTCAACAGTATCAAGATTTCATATGAGTAAGGGCATTAAAAGATTGAATTGTTTATAAACGCTTATGCAAAGCATGAAAGCTTACGTGCTAAGGAAACTTACACGTTGGTATAAGAGACTGAGGGGGGTTAAGTATGTTAAAGCCTAAAGAAGCAGATTTTGAACTTTTGCTGCACAATATTAAACTTTCCCAAAAGGAAAATATAAATCGGAGACGTCAACTACTTAAAAAGTGTTTTGAGGGGTAAGAATGCTACAAACGACAAGAAATTTTACATTTTATATGAAAAGGGGCGTTAAAAGATTGAAATGTTTATAAACACTTGTGAAACGTAGAGCATCCTATGTAGTGAGGAACCTTGCATGTTGATTTAGAAGATTGAAGACTTAAGTATATTAAACCCTCAGGAAGCAGATTTTCAAAACTCGAAAATTTTGTAAGACAACTGTCAATATTGAATTTTCCAATAGGAAAATATGAATTTTAGACAGGAACAATTGAAACTACTTATTTGTTTTTGAGGGCATTAAAAGATAGAGATGTTTGTAAACAATTGTGCAAAGTATGAAATCTTACGAGGGTCTCTCGAGGCATTAAGGAATCTTATTAAAACAAAAGGACCAGAATATGTCACTTTAACTCAACAGAACTTGATCAAAGAACGTGCGAATGTTCAAATTGAGAAAGCTAAGGGACTCGAACACTTTCATTTTACTTGCAACAAAAAAAAAGTGCAAGAAGGAAATTTTAGATAGGGCTTCGGGGGATTATGGAACCAAAGATGGAACAGCACCAAAAATAAAAAATCGAACTCTCCATAACTCATACGTCAAAATCTCAACTACAGATAGCAAGAACTGAACTTTTTTTAACATCCAGCTTGGGAATTCGATCCGCACAAAACCCAGCTGTCAAGATTTCAACTTTAAACGAGCGTTAAAGGAATCATCTAAGGTCCCAAAAAACCCACATGTCAAAATCGGATCTTTCGTCAATTTTCTAGGGTTAGGGTTCGGGAAAACAACAAAATCAAGAGACTTTCGGTCTGTTTTAGGTGCGAAATTGAAATTGGAGGGAGAGAGGAGAGAGAAAGTAGGGAGAGAGGGAGGGAGGGAGGGTGATCTTACCTTTCGCGGATCGGACGGAAGCGGTTGATTCTTGAGATTGCGGCTGAAAGAGAGAAGAAACGAAATAAAATTGAAGGGGGAGGATTAAAAGAGAGAGTTTTGATGAGAGAAGGATACAACACACTATATTAATAATAAATTCCTATTGGGTGGAAGTCACATGATGAGTTGGCTTTCTTCAACCAATCAAAAAAGGGCAAGTGTTGGGGTTCTAGAACAAACCTTTGTTGGTTGGGTGCATGGTGAGTGGGGCAAGGACAAAGGCCTAAGATCTCGCTTAAATGGATGGCAACGTAGGTTAGTGCTCATAATGAGTGTGATTAAAGATAATATTTTCAACTATTTGGGTTTTTTCTTTTTTTTTTGGTTAAAATTTATGGAACCTAACCTAAATTTTTGATCAATTAGTATGAATCTTTTATCATTAGTTTTTTTGGGTTAATTGCATATAGATGTCCCTGTAGTGAGATGCTTCTGAACTTATTACTTCTTTAGTTTGATTTTAACAGATGATTCTACATGTCATGTTTCTTCTTCTTCTTCTCACCACCATATATGTGATTCAATCATGTTAATGTTCTGAGACTCAGCAACGAGATTAGCGGATAATCCTGAGTTTAGCTACGGGGCTCGGGTTCGATGCGTGCGATATGGGTCCCCTCATCCCCTTAGGCGGCCAATCCCCTACTTAAAATGAGTAAGCTACACAATGAGCATGTCAGATAACTGAAGTTTGGTTCTCCGGTGATTCCTACGACGGTCAAGTCAGTATTTGAGCTTGAGTGGAGAAGAAACCAATAAACCGAATACGTTCTTAGTTAAGGTTGCAAAAATTTATACCTGGCTGAGATGCGTAGAAGCGTAACTATGACGGAGTCTAGATAAACAACTGGATTGGCAGATAGCTTTATAGGTGTCAACTGCATATGCGATGAGTCATCTTTGATTGGATGTGATGGTGGTTGAGAAGGTTTGGGGGGTGATGAGTCATGAAGACTCGTGGCATCGGCAATGGTGAGAATAGACAGCTGTTGGTGTGGAGTTTGAGGTCGAACCGCTTCTTGACTCGGCTCTACGAGAGGGACGACAAGCGCTGCATTTCTAGTCAGCCTCGCAAGTTGTCAACCCAGCTCCGAGTGGACGACGGTGATCGGCTCGTCTGATGAGGTTAGGCGAGAGCTTGTCTCAACTCGACCTGACTCGGGAAGGGTCGAGTGCCTAGTCGACCAGAGTCGCCCCTAGCTCGGGTGAGCTGACATGATTGATTAAAACCGATATGGGAAACGTGTTGGCTCAAGGAGAAAAATTAGCACTTAGATAAATTATGATCATAACAAAACCTTCTCTCTTTAGAATTTTAGCCTGACGTTGAAGAGTTCATACTGAATAGCGGAGAAAAGGAGACGACCAAGGCGAAATTAAAAAAGGGAATTTTGAACTTGGATTTAAGCATTAACCCTACCCTGATGGGCCTGATCTCTCTCTAAATTTTGAGCAAAAGAGGGAGAAGACCGCGTGTTTCTCACGTGCTTCAAATAGTCCCAATTACCAAAATAATTACTCTTTAATACACTCCTCCACGTTAGTGATTAGACCTTGCATTTGACACAGCCCACGTTTCCCTAAAAGAGTAGGCCCAGCCCAACAACACGTAACCCTCGGCCCGCTTAGGGTTTAAGCTACCGCTTCCCCTTCTAATTTCGAGCCCTAGCGAGCAGCGATTCCTCCCTCTCCCCTCGCCAAAATCCTCTCATCATGAAGCTCGTCAGGTACGGGAATTTTAATTGTTTCCCCCCCAGTTCAATTCGTGTATTTTCTCGTTTATTTTATTATCTGATGCGCTCGAGATCAGGTTTTTGATGAAGCTGAACAACGAGACGGTCTCCATCGAGCTCAAGAACGGCACTGTCGTCCACGGGACAATCACAGGTTTCTCTTCGCTCTTTCGATTTCTTTACTGTTCTTGGGTTA